GCCCGGACAACATGGTGAAACTCCCTCTCTACTAAAAATACAAAAATTAGCCCAGCATGGTGGCACACACCTGTAGTCCCAGCTACTCAGGAGGCTGAGGCAGGTGAATCATTTGGACCCGGGAAGTAGAGGCTGCAATGAATTGAGATTGCACCACTGCACTTCAGCCGGGGCAACAGAGCCAGACTCTGTCTCAAGAGAAAAAAAAAAAGAAATTAAAAAGGTCGGAGGGGTGGAATTTTTCAAGGCTGTTATGAAGGTGGCAATTAACGTGCTTGGAGAGGACACTCTGTTAACTTCCACAACTGGAGTATTTTCAGGTCCTACTGGCCCCACCTGGTGCCAACCAGCTGAAAATAACAGGTGTGTCCAGAACATCACTGGTTCCTGCCCTCCGATCACACTCAAGTCCTGCGGATGCTCTGCACTGCGCTCTTAGGCTGCCCTCTGGGGATACACCAGTGTGCGTGCCAAGAGTGCTGCTTCCACTACACCAGCGGTGTAGGTGCCAACATGGAGTTACACCTCTGCTGCCCTCACACTCACAGAGACGCTTTGCTGCACAGCGGGGTGAGGACAATGACCCTCTCCTCCACTCAGTATCCCTGAAGTAACTCTGGAACCTAAGCAGATAGCTGTGGCCTCTGTCTCCCTGATGCCCTGTGGAAATGGCTCCTTTAGTCCTTCCCTGCTGCCACCTGCCACTGGACTGGAAGACAAGGTCAGGGGTTGGCACTGCCTTTTTTCTATGCAAAATTCTTCCCCCATTTCGTCTCTCCCTATGTTGTCTTCCCTTTCTCTTTTTCCAATGCAAATGCCCAGTGCAAATGGATGCTCCTATGGACCAATGAAGCAGTGTCCTCTGGCTGCATAATCTGCTGTATAATTCATATGATATGGCATTATCGGCATTTCCTAATCTCCCTCCCAGTCGGCCACCTAGCCCCTTGTCTTTATCCTACCCCAACTCCCTCACCCACAGATACACAGTCAGGTATTTGTCGATTTGAATTGATGGAACTTGGGGCCCGGCAGTTCAGGCAGTAGTCCCAGTCGCCTTTGGCTCCTTCGAGTCATCAGATGGGACCCAGGCAGGTCTGTGAGTGCATCAGTCTCAGACCAGTGCCCAGGGCCCAGCATGCTGGGGGAGATCTGGGTGTCTGGGGAGGGACTACACAATGGGATCAGAACCCTGAAGGAGGCGCCTGTCCCTGGTGGCCTGCAGGGCATGCTGGCCTGCCCTGAGCTGCTGCTTGTGGCCCCGACATCCTACCACTTCTCGCCTGCCTCTCTGCATAGGCTCCGACAGGGGTATCATGCTGTGAAGAGTCCACCAGGCCCTGTGCCACCAACTAGGCCTTCTCACAACCATTACTTAAGCTTACCTAAACTTCACATGCCCCCGGGACCTTGCACCTGTGTGTCCAGGCTGGGTCAGCACCTTTCATTGTTCCCGCCTTACCCCTGCTTGAGCTTCCGACCCCTAACTTAAAAAAAAAAAATCTTCAGCTACCTTCTTTAATCCAGAAACTCTCCTCAGCTTGCATGAGAGAGGGGTTAGGGACAGAATGACCCTGCTGTTCCGATGGGTTAACTTCAGTCTTTCCCAGGCCGGCTTCCTCCCCTCACTTTGAGGGGCCTGTGCCACCAAGGTCCCAGCGTGGCTCAAGGCTCAAGCCCACTTAACCACCATGGCAGCTGGTATCACCAGTTGGCTCCAAGTTCTACTGGAGCAGAACAAAAGGTGGGGAGACATGTGGAAGGGGCAACTATTAACACACATTGCACCATCTCTCGGTGGGCTCAGAAACTGGGGTGGGCCCAGACTAATGGGAAAAGGCATCCAGTGACCATTAGGTGGGAAGACAGAGGGTGGCAGTGAGAGGATGACAGGCCAGTCCTGTGCCCTTCAGCAGGGTGATGTCTACATTCTTCATTCCTGTACCATTTGTTCTTTTTCTTTTTTCTTTTTTTTGAGACTATCTCACTCTGTTGCCCAGGCTGGAGTACAGTGGTGCCATCTCAGCTCACTGCAACCTCCACTTCCTGGGTTCAAGTGATTCTGCTGCTCAGCCTCCTGAGTAGCTGGGATTACAGGCGCCCACCACCACACCTGGCCAATTTTTGTATTTTTAGTAGAGACAGCGTTTCACCATGTTGGTCAGGCTGATCTCAATCTCCTGACCTCATAATCCGCCCACCTCAGCCTCCCGAAGTGCTGGGATTACAGGTGTGAGCCACGACGCCCGGCCATCTCTGTTCCTTTAAGGAGGCAAGAAAGTAATAACAAAGGGACAGAAGAAAATGTACACACAGGACTGCCAAGCAATCCTTCTCTGTTTCTCCTTCCAAGCATGTGATGTGTCCAACTCCCTTGTCTCTCTGTCCCTCCTAACCAGGATAGGATTATTTTAAGTAGGTGAAAAACGTCTTTGACCACGTAAGGCCTCCTGTAACTCTAAAACCTGTTTTGTAAGAGTCTGTGCTCATTTTCATTTAATTAGCAAACTTGGAATTGCTCACACTGTTTTCTGATTCTCCAAGATTCATGAAAATGTATGCAAAATGTTATGTGGAATTGGTAAAGTATGGTACTCTGTGTCCGTACAGCAATGCCCTTAAAAAGCAAGCTATCTGAGGCTGTGATCAGGCAAGCTTCAGAACAATTCTCCCACTGGGTGGGAAGTTGGATGGGTGGCTTCCAAGGTTCCTTCTCACTCCAGGCTGTTACGACACTAAGGTTAATGGACGCTGAAATGCAGGCCAAGAAAAACCATCTCACGTGAGAGGTTAAAAAAAGACTTGACAATGTGTTTTACCCAGAACACGGTGAGCCCAAACATTTCCAACTAGAGCTGTCAACAAAGAATGTGTTTGCAAAACAGTCAGAACTTAAAGTAAACTTCAGCAGGCAAATGATAAGCCTTCCCTAAAAAGGTAATCACATGGTGAGTGACCAGATTTTGGATGTGGTCCAAAATGCTTTCACATTTTTGACTCCAAATGGGCTGGGGCACTTGCTTTGGGGGTCAAAAACATGAAGAGTTAGGATGATTGCTTTCTACTCAGCAGGCAGCCGTGGGAAAGCTGCGAGAAATAAAGTACACGGTGGTGACTCCGAAAAACCAGCCAACCCCTGAGGATTGTGGTGCAGGAAGAAAGGGACATAAAGTGGGCACGCTGTGGTCCCAGAGCCATAGGAACAGGAGGTCCTGGGGATACCGGGGCACCCCTCAGTCCAGTTGCTGATGCCCTGGCCAGGGGGTCGTGTGGGGTGGTTTGCCATCCTCCTTTCTCCCAGATGCTATTCCAAACCAGTACAGCACCACATTCAGAGAAGTCCTAATTCCTTTGAGGCTCAGACTCTTCAACCACATCAAACTCTACCTTTTATTGGGGTGTGAAGGAGCTTTGGTTTTGGCTATATATGCTTTACGAATTTTTTTTTCATTGTGAAATAGATCATATTACAATAGAATGTGCATAACGTGTATGTCCAGCTTAAAGAACAATAATAAAAACCAGATACCCATGTCCACACCACCCAGCTTAAGGAATTGAATATTGCCAAAACCTTTGAAACTCACTCCATGCTCACCCTTCCCAATTGTCTTGCTCTCCCTTCCCAAACCCTGGGGCAAGCCACTGACCTGACACGGGTGTTACTCACTCCCTGGCTTTCCTTTATAGTTTTAATCCATTTGTTGTGGATCCCTAACCAATATACTGCTTAGTGGTGCCTTTTGTGAATTTCACGTGACAAAGCCATGCTCATTGTAACCTTCTTAACATGCTGTCTTTGCTCAACAGTATTTTTGGAATTTGTTCATGTCGATGGGTATAGCTGTAGTTTATTTGGTTTCTTTGCTTTATGGGATTCCATTATGCCAAAATTACTTGTTTATTCTATTACTTATGAATATCTGGGTTGTTTCCTTTTTTAGCTATTATAAACAAGGCTATTACACACATTCTTGTACATGTCTCCCATAGAGTATGTGCAAGAATTCCCCTCGGGCAGAGCTACTCGAAATGTAGCTGGCAGACTCACTACTGGTGCCCAAACTTTTATTGCTTTACAACAAGGTCAGGAGCTTGAGCCAGGATATAAAGCAGCTACATCATTCAAGTCACGATTTAGTTCAACTGCTACTTTTTTCATAGCAGGACTTCCTTTCAAAAGAGCAATTGGGCTGCGCCCGGTAGCTCATGCCTAAAATCCCAGTACTTTGGGAGGCCGAGGCGGGCTGATCACTTGAGCTCAGGAGTTCAAGATCAGCCTGGACGACATGGTGAAACCCCATCTCTACTAAAAACACAAAAAGTAGCCAGACATGGTGGTACGTGCCTGTAATACCAACTACTCAGGAAGCTGAGGCAGGAAGATTGCTTGAGCCAGGAGCCAGAGGTTGGTCACCAGTGAGCCAAGATCGCACCACTGCACTCCAGTCTGGGCAACAGAGAAATACCCTGTCTCGAAAAAAAAAAAAAAAAAAAATGTGCAGCTGATTCATTCTGGAAGAAGGTCCTCAATTCCTCCTACTTCTGCTGCTTGGCAGGGCCCTTGGTGTCCTCTACCTTTTCTCTTCACCTTCATCTGCCGATCTCTGGGCACCCTCTCCCTCATCAGTGAAGACTTTGGTCCCTCACTCAGCTTCTCAGTTTTGCTCAATAAAAATGTGCTGCATGAGTGAGCTGAGATCATGCCACTGCACTCCAGCCTGGGCGACACAGCGAAACTCCATCAAAATAATGATAATAATAATAATGTGCCACATGAATGAATGAATGAATGGTGTGTTCTTCAAACCCACACATCCACCTCAGGAGCTGCCATGTTCTTCTACGAATTCCACCTCCCCAGTTGATTTTTCCAGGGGGTGGGTAAGAGTCAAAGTCCTCCCCAGACTTTTTCATCCTGGAACCAAGAAAGGGGGTCAGTGTATCTCCAGTGTAGAAGCTAAGATGTCATTCACCAGGGCTGGCAGCAACCCTACTCACCACCTTGGGAGGAAGCTGCCTTCAGTGACAGAGGACAGAGTTGAGGCACAGAGAAGACAGCAGCAACACGAGTCAGAGCAAACATCCGGCAGCACCTGGTCCCTGAGTCCTGGATCCCTGGGCCCAGCTGCATTGGTTTCTCAGCCCCATCTTGGCTTCTCTTTTTTGTCCAAGCTGGTTGAAATGGTTGTTTCATGTCTGGAAAGAAAATGAATAATACACCCAACTTTAGGCTTAGTGAGCTGCAGAAAGCTGGAATCAAGGCTGCCCTTTGGACTACGAAGCTGGTTATTATGAATATTTTTGAAGAATGTTGTTAATTCTCCAGATTGGTGTTACTGCAAACACCAAACTGAAACCAAAACCAAACCAAACAAAACCTAGCAAGCAAATAAGAGATCTGAGGTTGCCGTATTGTAGTAAGGGGCGTTCCCATCTTTCCTGCCGCAGCTCAGGTATCAGCCGGACAGTTCTGCTTGGCGTGCACCCCACAACCACACATGCCTTAACTCTGATCTCAGCTCGGGTCTTCCCAGGTCCTCTTTCCCAAGGGTTCCCACTGTGGTCTATCACTCCATGTCACTTGACACCACCGGGAAGGCTATTTCACTACATCCGCATAGAAGGACAGGAAAATAGCCGAACAGCCCACAACTCCAGGAAGAATTGTTAACACCAGCAGGGACAGCTAGGGGTCTACCTCATGCAGGGAAGTGGGGAAAAGGAGTACATGAGAAGCTCTGAGATACAGCAGGACTCTCCCAAGGAATATTTAGTCCAGAAATAATTATTTAAAGCTGGGTGGAGCCTTAAAACCATTTGCCACAGAAATCAAAAGCCCTTTATAGGCATTTCATCTATGCCAGTCCCACCTAAAGTGGACACAAAGCACAGTTCCAGTCCCTCTCATCACGCCTACAGAGGACAGAACGGATCAGCCGTTCATCCTCTTCCCCATCCTCGATTCATCCTAGATGAAAACGGCAATGATTCTTGGGTTGCCTGATCACAGAGGGTACAGGAGAGGGGCACCTGGATATGTCATTCATTCCCATGTTTGAAGGTAGCTAAGGCTTAGAGAGGTTAAGTGAATTATGCAAAGTCACACAGCCACATAGTAACAGAACCCAGACGAGAAGTCAGAAACTATTGCCTAGTGCTCTTTTCTCTCCACTGGGCTGCTTAGGAACACTTCTCAGGCAATGCCGAAGACATTTCAAAGAGTGTGCATTGGAACCAAAACCAATAAAGTAACCACAACGTCCTCAGATATCCACATGACAGCCCTGGGATGTCCTGGGCGTTTTTTTATCCCCATGCAAAGAGGTCCACGAGGGGCAGACAGACTCCTGTGGAACTGTAGGGCTGTGCTTTTCATACACTGGATCGTGAAATCAACTTGTGGGTTGAATAGCCTTTCTGAGTAGAATATAAAATATCAACACTGTACCATATGATAAAGTTAAATATTATGTCACAAAATCTTTGATACCATGTGTATGTGGATGTGATGTAAAAAGTTTGCTTTTTTTTTTTTTAAATGGTGGGTCACTGTCAAAATGTTTTGAAAACTCTGCTTTAAGGAATAGCTTCTGGAGAAACTCCCAGCTGTTACAGTTCAAAGCTTTCACATTCTCTGCAGGTAGAAATTAATGCAAAAATGCTTTTATTTTTTAATGTAGTAAACAAGATTTGGAAGCTATTTTAGTAAAGATCCAATTAACCAGAACACTCAGGGAATTTAACGTCCTGGTTAATTGAATCTCTTCATTAATGAGGACAAATTGAAAACCCTTGTCAAGAGACAGAGTCATAGAACATTATGGGTGGAAGAGACCTTGGAAATTGGTTTTCACCAACTCCCTCACTATCTTGCTGGCAAAAGCTGAGGCCCAGAAGGAGAACGTGGCTTGCCCTAGGCCCTAAGGTCAATTGAGGGTTCAAGCCAAGACCTCAGCCCATAAATCACCTGCCCAACTCTCTTGTGAGACTGGGCTGAATCTCAGTGAAATCATATGTAATAACCCTTGGGCTTGCTTAAGACGAAAGCACAGCATTTAGCCTGTCTATTGCCATTTGCTTTTTCTCACAGCTCAGTGCAGTTGGTTTTACAGAATTTAGAACAAACACCAAAGATCTGCTGGTAGCATCAAAAGGTTGGTGTGGTGTGGTTGAGCATCTTTCTCTCTGTCTCTCTTTCCCTCTTTCCGTCTCTCCTCTTCTTTTTTATTTATTTATTTATTTATTTATTTATTTATTTTTGAGACGGAGTCTCGCATTGTCACCCACGCTGGAGTGCAGTGGCATGATCTTGGCTCACTACAAGCTCCGCCTCCCAAGTTCACACCATTCTCCTGCCTCAGCCTCCCAAGTAGCTGGGACTATAGGTACCTGCCACCACGCCCAGCTAATATTATTTTGTGTGTGTGTGTGTGTGTGTGTGTTTAGTAGAGACGGGGTTTCACTGTGTTAGCCAGGATGGTCTCGATCTCGTGTGTGTGTGTGTGTGTGTGTGTGTTTAGTAGAGACGGGGTTTCACCATGTTAGCCAGGATGGTCTCCATCTCCTGACCTCGTGATCCGCCCACCTCGGCCTCCCAAAGTGCTGGGACTACAGGCATGAGCCACCGCGCCCGGCCCCTCTCCTTTTCTTTTTCTTTGTTTGCTCTGATCTTTTTTCTTCCCATACATTATTGGTTTTCCAAGACACAGGGTGACACCCTTTTTTTAAAATATATTTTTTATATTGCTTGAGGCTGAGAAAAGCTATTTTCATTCTTGGAACTCCCTAAACCATTCCTGTGACCCGTTTCTGCCTATAAGCCACTATTTAATGAGTTTTATCATATGGAGAATAAACCCTGGGAAACCGAAATGCATAGCCTTGTCCTTCGGTGGCATGCACTGTTCTCCGTGCACATTTGTTCATTGAGCACATACACATAATGTATCAGGCACTAAGAATGGAGCAGGGAACAAAACAGAAAAATCCCTGCCCTTAGGGAACTTACACTCTAATAGTAACAAATAAGCACACAGTGAACAAATAAGCAAATAAGCACATGGTAGGTCAGATGGCAATAAAGTTGAAGGAATAGGGAAAGGCAGGCTAGAGGAAAATAGGGATTTCTGAGGGTGGGTGGTTACTATTTCATATGGAGTAGTCAAAGAAGGCCTTGTGAATCAAGAAGCAGAGGTCTAAAGAAAGTAAGGGCATGAGGCAGCTCAGTCTGGGAGAAGAGAGCTCTTGGCAGGGGGAAAACAGCACTGTGTCAGGCTACAAATACCTTCCATCGAGTACCAATGATTTCTGACTCATCAATTCCACCTTGCTGATGACACTGTCCTAGAGGTTAGTTTTTTGTTTGTTTGTTTATTTGTTTGTTTTAATTTTGAGATGGAGTTTTACTGTTGTTGCCCAGGCTGGAGTGCAATGACACGATCTCAGCTCACTGCAACCTCCGCCTCCTGGGTTCAAGCAATTCTCCTGCCTCAACCTCCCGAGTAGCTGGGATTACAGCCACTTGCCACAATGCCCAGCTAAGTTTTTGTATTTTTAGTAGAGACAGGGCTTCACCATGTTGGCCAGGCTGGTCTCGAACTCCCGACCTCAGATGATCCACCTGCCTCGGCCTCCCAAAGTATTGGGATTACAGGTGTGAGCCACCACACCTGGGCCCTAGAGATTATTAGGTACCAATTTAGGGAGAAGACATTGCACTATTTCATTCAATGAGCCAGGATTCTGTGCTGAAATATGCAGATGATCCCTGCCCACCTGATATTAATGACGAATCAAAAAATGTCCACGCAGGTCAGGTTACAATTGCAGTAAAAATATTGCAAAGGAGGGAGGTACAACATGCAAGTCTTCCGGAATAGGAAGAAGGATAATTTCAGGCAGAGGAAATAGCAGGCATGAAGGCACAGAGGTAGAGAGGATGGTGCATTCAGGGATCCTCTTTTGGTCTGGTTGGGAGGTGAGTGTCAAGAAATGAGGACAGAAGCAAGTAAAAAGTAGAAGAAGAAGGCTGGGCATGGTGGCTCATGCCCACAATCCAAGCATTTTGGGAGGCCGTGGCGGGCAGATCACTTGAGGCCAGGAGTTCAAGACCAGCCTGGTCGATATGGTAAAACCCTGTCTCTACTAAAAATATGAAAATTAGCTGGATGGGGTGGCACATGCCTGTAAACTCAGTTACTTGGGAGGCTGAGGCATGAGAATTATTTGAACCCAGGAGGTAGAGGTTGCAATGAGTCAAGATCGTGTCACTGCACTGCAGCCTGGGCAACAAAGTAAGACATTGGAAAGAAAGAAAGAAAAGAGAAAGAAAGAAAAGAAAAGAAAAGAAAAGAAA